TTGAGGTACTTGAACTGTCATCAGATTGTGGATGACTTTCACACATTAAGAATGGAACATCTAGTGAGGGGATAATGTTTTATTAATACATTTTTATATTAATAATTATTTTCTGTGATTTATCACCCCCATGGATTGTAACGAAACACTGTACATTGTGCTATGTCACAATATTAAAGCGCATAAATATGTACCTTATTTATGTTTTCTGCTACTTTCCTTGATTTCAGAAGTAAATACTTTGGGTCCACTGACATTTACTTTTTGTTGTTACTAGTCACGTATTAAAATTTTAGACAAAATATGATTCATTTATACAACATCTGCTGCAGTTAAAAGTACCTCCACAAGCTCCAGTGCTGCACATTAACATACTAACACACACCTATATGTGTGGTAAAGAAAATATCCAGTGTTCTGCTGCACAGTGACCACTTTTACTTTCATTTCTCTAAGTACACTTTAATCCGCTGCCTCCCTGTAAGAGCACTGAAGTAACAGTGTTCAGAATATTTATAAAGGAGTATTTTGATACTGCAGCACTGTTACTTTTACTTAAGTAAAAGATTTGAATGCTCAAACAAAGCATCAGCATACGCGTGCCAAACAACCAAAGAAAAATTAACACAGGGACTGGAAACTGATTCAGTTAATGCCAACTCCACTGAGTAGGCTACACCTCCACAATCTAATCTGCAATTCAGCACAACAGCTCTTCCGTAAATTATCTTCAGGACACCTCTGCAATAAGCATCCTGATGGCTTAAATGTTAAATTCATGACCAAATGAAGGCACGGGAGTATAAATAAATGGTTATCTGTGACACATGTTTACACACATTAATAATACAAGGTTTGCATATAATTTATCGGGCTATACAAGGACATCATAGGCCTGCCCTCCCAAATCTCTGCCCAGTCATACTTGCCACCCCAAAATTTACTACAGGCAATTTTAAAAATGTATAATATCCCTTTGAGAAAATATGCGTTTCCCAAATCATTTAAGAATTATTTGTGGGCTCTTACATATACATGAATGTGGACAGCAGATGTTCAAATGTTTTCTAACAGGGGGTCGTTTTCCGAAGCAAACTGGTTGAGTTGGTTCAAAGCGTCTGAAAGTTTAGGCCATGCCATCACCGATGTTTGACAAAAATATTGCACTTAGGCCACGAACACTGCAACATTTTGCCGTGAATTGGCGTTTGCGCTGACAGCTGAAATAGTCGAAATACTGAGTTTGCAGGCGAAGCAGACATGAATATATTTCTCTCTTTCCAGTGGCAGTGAGCCAAACAGGAGCGAACAGCATCAGACTGAATAGAGCGCGTTATTTCAAAAGGAGCGTCTGATATACGTCACAGCATGCACCGAACCTCAGGGCAGGTCGGGTGTGACTGTTTTTCTCCGTTTCATATTAATAATCCAACCTGCTAAGTGCACTTAGCATGTATTAAAAGGTGTTTTGTTGTTGTGTGTTCGTTGCATGAATTTAATGTTGCTGTGTTTTTGTCTGTTTTATCTGGTTAAATGGTAAATGGACAGCATTTTATGATTCCCACTCTTTTATTTATTTATTTTGCAAAACCTTTCATTCACCCTGTTGCATTGGAAATCTTACTCAGTTACCAATACACAGCCTAATTAAATGTGCCAAAGAGGTGAGCATTATAAGGAAGCTTTATGATCAGGTTAAATGGTGCTTGACCCTTCATTTGGCCACCAAAAATAGGTATCAGGCCATACTGTCATAAATCTTCAGGGCCCCATAACAAGCACCATTTAACAACCCAAACCTATTATAACCCAAATCCAATGATTTTATAGATACCACATGGGCAAAACAACAAAACAATGGTGGTCGCCTTTACTGGAATGATTTTGTATTAAATTATCAACCCTGTTCTTTTTAAATGCATAGCAGTCTTTCTTCAACTACAGCAACGCAGATTCAGCTGTCTAATGAAACAGAGTTGATAGCCTCAGTGTTAGTCCGCTTTTGCCAAACAACCGGACAAATCCTGTGTTTCCATGGCGATTTGAAAAGCTAGAGATGACTGGTCTAGGAAGGTGTAATCAGCAATGAACCCTGTTTCTTTTGGCATGTGTGGGTTGATGGTCAGGGTTTCAAATACCAGCCCAGCCACAGGAACACTGCTGAGCACCTTCTGTGACTTCCGCATGCCAAGAAATGCAAGTGACTATTAATGTCAGTGAAATGGCGATGAAAAGAAAGATAATCACTGAAGAAAACATGACTACTACAAACATAAAATAATGAGATTTAACACATGAAATCACAGATCTACTACAAGCTTTTTTCTTGTTTATTGTTACTCAACAGTCCCACCTGGCAAAGTTAAAACTGATATGAGACACTACGGGCGTCAGTCACATTTTTAAATATATTATTCTCTCTGTATTTGTGAGGGTTTACTTGACCTGTTTGGGGAACCAGGTTTCGAAAAGCACCACACTGATGCAGCAGAACTAAAGGAACCTGGAGCCTACATTACCCACACTGCAACTGCTGACAGTTCAGTCTGAGTTTCTGGTCAGTGCAGTAAAAAGTACAAGATATACTTCTGAGATGTAGGACAGAAGAATAAATAATATAAAAAGGAAACACTGAAAATCAAAATTGTACTTCAGTACAGCATTCGAATAAATGTATTTAATCACTTTCCACCACAAAGAGGAATGGTGCAGATTAAACATGATGGTCAGGCAAATTAAAGGTTAATGTGCTCTGATGTCACACATAAGATTTAATGGATGCACAGAGAGCACCTGCCAAAGGCCAACAGCAATGTTGCTTTTGTGAGGAGGGTGTGATTCTACAATGTAGAATAATTTCTGGTCATTTCAGCTTTGGTCAGAATGTGTGTGTCATTCAGGTAAATTATGGGAGAGAAGATGGAATGCACATGTAGGCAGAGAACAAATGTGTTGAACCAGTGAAAGTGATTTAGAGGCACAGAGCTGTAAGAATCACCTCGGCTCAAGCTTGATTACAAAGCAGGATCTTTCAAATTAAAATATTACCAGCTCAGGTCATGAAGCATTGTAATTCCAGCATAAAGGGCAACCAGCAGCTACTGCAAAGTGAGAGATGATGTATCTGTGAGGATGAGAGGTTATACTACCTCCTATTAAAGAGCCTTAGTAAAAGTATACAGCACGTCCCTCTGCTCCCCAGGATGTGTTCTCCAAGCTAAATGAAAACCTGTATCACAGTCCATGTCTCCTGTCTCCCTTCCCATGCTCCCCTTCTCTATGTCTAGTCAGTTGCTGTCTATAAATACATAAGGTGCTGTTTCCACGGTAACAAGTCTATGGAGAATTGGCCACCTGATATCTAGTTGGAGTGAAAAGGAGGGTGAACAGTGATCTGCAGTGTCTGACTGTCATGAAAATAGCCTATTCACAATCGATCTCTGTCCTGCAGGTTGACCCCTTCATTTGCATCATCCTACAAGCTACACCTTAGGCCTGTCTGGAGCCTTGTCTAAAAACAATTCTCATTTTTGTCTGGATATATGTTTGGTGTCTGATTATTTCTGCACCAATATCTAATTTCTAACAGCTAACTCTCTGCCAAAAATGTTGGAGTATTCCTGTCTACCTGCTTGTCAAAAGTTGCTACAGTCCAGAGCCGGAGATCGGTCTTATAGCAGTGGAAAGTAACTAAGTACATTTTTTCCTCAACTGCTTTATTTTGAAGGTTCATTGGTAAGGTGGGTATATTTTGTATAACATTCTGTAGATGTAGGTCTATAATGGTGTTCACTGCCCTCCAGTGGTCACACTGGGTTATCGCAAACCTACATTCAATTCTAATCTAATTAGTATAGTTATTATGAATCTTAATATGTCATTATTAATGTGATCATTTCAAATAACAGCATATATATATTATTTTTTGTACTGGGAGGGAGGGAAGGAAGAGGACAGATCTCAGTGCCTGAGCCTGCTGACTGACAGGTAACATATTAAGGACGATGTGACAGACCTGAGTGTAGATTTCACTGAGAAGGAAAACAAAATCCATAAGGCATCTCACATTCTTGACACCTGTCGAGTCCTTGATGTCTAGAGCAACATCAGTGCTGATTGTTATCAGTAATTATCAATACACACAGAGGTTTTCAGCAGTCTGTACATGTTTATGGCAGTGTCAAGACATTAAGTAACAAACACTTGGAGAATACTTTAAAATGAATTAACTGAACAATTGAGAAAATGTACATTTCTGTATCCGTTTCTTTTCTTCAAAATCCAATGCTTTGACAAGTGGCAGCTGAACTACTAAGGGTTAAAGAGAAATAGTTTATTGTTCACTAGTGGTCACTTTAGTCCAGTCCTAACACAGATCATTATTATTTGAAGGTAGCAGTTAGGATATCCATAGCTATATATATATATATATGCACATACACACATACACACGCACAAACCCTATTCAGGATAAGCGGTATAGACAATGGATGGATGGATGAACAGCTGCAGAGAACTGATTTACTGAACAAACATTTTGACTATGAGGGAAATAAGAACCAAACTGAATTGTTGGAAACAATGTTTTTCTGAAAACCACTATATGTCCTGTAAAAATAACCTCAGAGGACAGATCTCAGTGCCTGAGCCTGCTGACTGACAGGTAACATATTAAGGACGATGTGACAGACCTGAGTGTAGATTTCACTGAGAAGGAAAACAAAATCCATAAGGCATCTCACATTCTTGACACCTGTCGAGTCCTTGATGTCTAGAGCACCGAAAATAATTTTTGACAGGAAACAACTGATATGATCCACACCAACACAGAAAACCTGCTAACCAGCTTAAAATAAAATGATTAATATTTTGGAAATTCTATTTCGATGTGACTTGTGCTGAGAGGAATTTTGATTACATTCACCACTGTCAGGTGTGTGCAAACACCTTGAAATTGCTTTCTAAGGTATAGTCCAATGAACAGGCCAGTAAAGCAGACATACAGTAGAGATCTCTTTATTACAGTGCATTTATCAGATGTTACTAGGTGAGTTTTTTTAAAAAGCATAAGGAGGTACTTAATACATATGCACATACCTTGTCATTTGTACAGAAAGAATCTTGAAAATTAAAGCTTCACATCTAAACAAGGGTAGGTGGATGTCAAGTTAGAATACATTATCTTGATTATTATACACATTTGTATTTCTTGTTGTATACCAAATTATGTAACATATACTATGAACTCTACCAATGTTTTGAAAATATACCATAAGGACAAAGAAAGCCCAAAATATTAGTTATGCAGTTACTCAAACGAATGTCCAGTTGTAGGAAATTAAGTTAGTAAGGGGTGTGCACTGTTGGTAAGATTTTCTTATCAAATTTCAGGAGGGACCATTGGGTGAGTGGTGAAACTATTCTGTCACTGACTGATGTAACATTCTTTCTTGCACACTGAAACTGTTTGCTGGTGTAGTGCAATGGGGAGGTTTATTGCTAACTAACAAATTACTTGTCTTCACATAGGCCTTTGTGGTGCAAGCTGGTGAGGTTGTGCAAATGACATTAGAGGAATATGATGTAAATAAAAGCATTGGAAACACCCTGGATACATGCAAGGGAAAATACCATAAAGCCTAAAGCATTGAGGAATTAATTACAGTGTTAATTCATACAGCAGGCTGGAGAAAACACTTCTAATTCAACTGTACCATCTATAGCAGTGCTAACAATTTGGTCAAGAGCATGTGTGTCCTCTGGAAAACACGGGAGCCGGCGAGTTCATGCTCGGCAGGTGAATCCAAAACTGAACCAAAAGCAGCGAACCCTTTCTGAATCAAACTAAATGGTCCCAAAAGCTTTTTACTCAAAAGACTGCACACCTGGCAAGGTAGTTCATGCTGAAGTAAACCAGGTCATGCATCTACAAACAGTAACATAACAAAAGATATAATAAAATAGAAAACCGATCCTAACCCCAAGAACTACATACAAGAGAAAATAAAGACTACAGTAAAGAGGTCAAAGTGGGAGCAACTCTATAAAAGGCCTTGACGTTCCAACGGATGTAGCTGAAACCCATAGTTCTCCCAGGATACACACATTCACCAGTAGCTACACTCAACACACCTCCACATAGGAAAAATAATAATAGAAACTGAAGATGAGCATTTCCCTTTCTAGGCTCAGCCATAATGGACTACTTAATCCTCTGTGTGAAGGACATGAGGACTAATTAAAAGAAATATTGGTTGGTTGTACCCTAAGGGTGATAACTTGGAAAGGTGGGAGTGAACTGAAGAAATGACTCCACATAGGTGGAAACACCTGCAACAGATGCTGAACACGCTCCAACCATTAAGAGGACCTGCTGTATACACACATAACAATTCCAAAAAAAAAAAAAAAACGCTTAAAAATAAAACAGAGGAAAACAGGCATCCAGTCTTCGATGCAACCATCAAAAACTCAAATCCACCAAAACGCAATTTTCAAAAAAAGATGTCAGGCATTTTATTCGATCAAACAGGAAACAGGTTACACTGTCTCTCTCTGCAGGGTGAATAAACAAAAACACAATGTTGCTGGTAGATGGGGAAAAAAATGAATTAGCATCATCTTGGGTTTTGTTTGTTTTTTAAACAAGCATTCTTGACAGATGACACACAGAGCTTAATGTCCTGTGTTGCTCTTTGCTTTGTGGAAACCAGTGCCTTTAATGGATGTGCTGACACTGGGGAGAGGAGGTGTTTGAGAGTTAACCGTGTTCAAGGCACAGCAGGGCTGCTCCCACTTGGTTGACACATACATACACACATTCATTCATCCATCCATCCATCCATCCATCCAAAAAAATACTTATCCAAACCCACCCATACAGTACACAGATGCAGGGGAGCACTGGCCAAAGGTCCAACGCTTCAGAGGAAAGACAGGAAAGAAGAGGAGTAAGTGAGACCAGGAGACCAGTGCAGTCTCCCATCGCACTGCAAACAGAGTGGGGACAGGAGGGGACATGATCGATCATTTTGCATTTTTGAGCTGACTTGAAAGCCAGTCCAGACCCTCATAGAGACCATCTCCACTTGTGGCGCATGTGGCCTGGATATACCAGTTACGGTGGCGCAGGGAGTGCAGGGTCAGCTTGTCTGTGATCTCGGCTGCATTCATGGCATTGGGCAGGTCCTGAAAAAGCAGACAATACAACAGTAAATAAATATGAGGAGAAAAAAAAAGTAACTACCATTTCCTGTTATGGTGTGCACTGATCTGAGGCAACAACTGCTTAATAATATAAACAGGTGAATGATCCTTCTCTAAAGGACCAGTGTCACCGGTTAAGCAGATTTAATTTACTTTTTTGTTGCAGGACTTTCAAATTGCAAGGGTTTCAATCCACATTAAAATGATCTGTGTCTATGACACATAAATCAGTTTATAAATTTCTCTCTTCCAATAGCCAATCCCAACTGTTATAATAGTTAACCATTAAATGACACGTTTTCTGGTTCCACTAGCTCATTTTGTTGTGCATTTTAATCATTTATGGTAGAGGGATTTAACTCTGTATGGTAAAAATTGCAATAATTAGACCAACAGTTTCTCAATAACCCACATTCTCATTATACTTTTCTATCCAAGCATGGGTTCATATACTGTATGGGTGTTTTCTTTGGTCACACCAATCAAATGGTAATGAACCAATCCTATGTTGGTAAAGTCACTGGCTGACTAAGATCTATGGCCACCTAATGGGCAGAAACTTCTTCCACTAATAATGCTGGTCTCCTTTAAGGACACTGACACAAACTGACCTGTTTGTTGGCAAACACAAGCAGCACTGCATCCCTCAGCTCATCCTCAGCCAGCATTCGCATCAGCTCCTCCTTCGCTTCACCAACTCGCTCCCTGTCATTACTGTCCACTACAAAGATAAGGCCTTAAAATGGAAAAGAGATGAGGATTTTATTAATGAAGTTGACAAAGATTTTCACGTGTAATGGAGGATGCATCCAACAGCGCTTGTACAACAGACTCAGATGTGGGAACATCAGGAAGCCTCTCACCTTGTGTGTTCTGGAAATAATGCCTCCAGAGTGGCCTGATCTTGTCCTGACCACCGACATCCCACACTGTAAAACTGATGTTCTTGTATTCTACTGTCTCAACATTAAAACCTGAGGATGAAGTAAAACAAAAACAAAAGACATGAAACGGTTTGTGCTGTCACACTGCATGATGGGTCCCTGTAGGTATTAAGTTCATGAGGATGCAGGAGAGGACTCACCAATGGTAGGGATTGTGGTTACAATTTCTCCCAGTTTGAGCTTGTACAGGATGGTGGTTTTTCCAGCAGCATCCAGTCCTACCATCAGGATCCTCATTTCTTTCTTGCCAAACAACCCTTTAAACAGGCTAGCAAAATTCCCCATCTTAGCTCAGCTGCATAAAAACAAAGGATATTGAGGGGTTAGGTCTCAAAAAACACCTTATCAAACAGCTAACAATGACAGAGCGACTTTCAAAGAGTTAATGTTTGAAGATGATGTTGTTACTGGCTGTCTGCAGGGGTAGCTGGCAATGCTCATGACAAAGAAATATACAATACAAAACGAATAAGGTCAGTATATTCCAAGAGTTATTCAATGATCAATTGCTGTAAATCGTATTTCTGTGGCATTTTCCTAAAACAAGCCGCCTGTGTATACGCCAATGATTTTACAGTTTTACAGCTAAATGATAACATGTCCCAGCCTGTTCTTCTCAGATGTGCATCAGTTGAAGACCACTGAGATAAGCACAAGAAGAGAGAGCACATTCTTCCAGAAACAGCAAGAGAGAACTAATGGAGAAAACAAAAAACAACATGCACTCTGGCAGTCTTACATTTTGGACATTTGTGTCTACTGAGAGTCCAAAAACTGAAATCACTGCCTCTTCTGCAACCTTTCTCTGTCTGTAGGCTTGTTGGCTGACAATGCAAAATGTCCAACTCAGAAAAAGTCCTTTTGTTTCATTTCTGATGGTTTCATAACGCCTGATTGAAACACTGCTGCTACTGAATAAAATTATTGGGAGCTTAATACAGTGTGAGATTTTTTTTTCTGTTTTTTTGCCTTCAAGCTGTTGGTTCAGCACCTGTAAAACTTTTTGGATGTGCATGGCCTCTGTTCTTTGACTATTGCTAACTTAATCATGAGCATACAGCTTCTGTGATTTACACAACTTAACACAAGACAGCTTGAGTGGATATCGTGTTCAGTGGATCATGTTCAGTGATGATGCAATAGTGTTTTAATTTATTTGCAAATTAAAGCCCTCAATGACTAATATTAGAAAGCTGTGCTAAAGGCATAAGAAGTTTGTATGTGGAGCACCTGTTTATCCAAGTGTTTCCATGACAAACCTTGGAAACAACTTTGCTTCTTCTCCTGTGTGTTTATATCCAGAACATCCCTAAATAAAGTGGGCACAAAATATATATTAGGATTTGCTAAATAGATTTCAATTGGAGAACAATAAATCTGTATCAGGTTTCTTTATCTAATCCATCCCTAGCCCCTGGTGTTTCAAGATAGTTAAAGACTGTGAAGGCTGACAACAATAAACCACAGTCCTATTATGTAACAACACTGCTGCGATGTGACAATGCAATAGCCAGAGACAACGAAGATCTTGACTCATCCAGTAACAAAAGACAAAATGTTATGATCAAGCAAGGAGGTGGATTATACCTGTGGCCAACAAAGAATGCCAATGAGAGGGAGTGACACTGCACTGTAGTTGATTAAAAAGGCAAAAGGCACACAACAGTAAGTCAAAGAGAAAAAAGTGTGTGTGCATGTATGTGTGTATGCAGGTCTTCCTGCTTTCTTTAAAAACAAGAAAAATAATAGGCTGAATAAGAAAAACAATTCAACAAAAAGGCATTTAAAAGATCTACATTTACCAAGATTCAAATAAGGACTATTTTCTGTGGAGCATTTAGTGTGACGACCAAAGCAGTAGAGTATAAAACCATGTAGTGCTAACTGCTTGATAAAATAAAAATGTAACTACCAGCTGTTAATATTCAAGTAATAATTTAAGTAATTTATCAAGCAAAAACACCAAACATATGCTCCCTTCAGATTTCTTAAACATCAAGATTTTGGGATCTGGATTTTGGACTGGAATGTGTGAAGCGCACTTTTCATTATTTTCTGCCATTTTCTCAAAAACCTGTGACAGGTCAACTAATCAAAAAACACAAATAATGAAAATATTCTTTACCTGCATCCCTAGAACCAGTACCAATTATTTTATGAACTTCATTTTTATCACCATTACTATTAAAGCGGTTTGTTGAATCTGTAATATCCTAATAAATCATATTTCATTCCTACCAACATGTTCCTTAGCATCTAGCTTCTCAGACAAATAAGGAAGTACTATCAAGTACTTTAGCTGATACTTAAAGAGGAATTAAAGGTTCCTCTTGACATAACATTAGAGAGGTTTATGTGACATATGACTTAAAACTAACGACTTCATTTTGTGAAGATAACGTACAATTAAAAGCTAATGCTCAAGAATGTCAAATTTGCATTAGCGTTAACGTTACCTAATGAGTTATTAGATCAGGTCCCGACAGGTGTACGTTAACATCTGTCTACCTAACTGACATAGTCTGCATACGAGTTAAATAAAATAAAATGCATTTTGTATTTCGCACCGTCAACAATGATGGTTAACCCATCTTAGATTCGGCCAGATGACTAATGCCCATGAAGGGAAACGCTAGGTGCTTAAATATCGCCGTATTTAAAATTCTAAATAACACTTCAGTGTTGTAAATACTATGTAACATAAAGTGGTATTAAATGTTAGCATTCAGTTGGCATGTAGCTTGAAAGCTAGCTAACTGTGTTTAAACCTTTAGACGTTTTTAAACGTTTCTACAATATGCATCCACAAAGTAGAAAGAGGATTTAGCAAGCCAACGTCAGAGCTCGTTAATGTTAGCTAGCTAGCCTAGCTATGTTTTAATCATCACTGACATTATATTAATGTTTGCTATACCACACAGAAACACTTCCATGCGCACAAAGGTGATACTGACTGATAAATGTACTGGTTACTAATCAGGAGGCGTTAGTATTCATAGGTCAATGTTACAAACTTCCTAAGCAGCACTAAAGTTAAGCTGCTAAGGAAAAGGCTAACGAACTTTGAATACGCGGCTTCAAGGTTCTGTAAGCTATAACCGAGTGTAACACTAAAGCTGTTACCATTACCCGGTTTTGGTGTTTAATCCCAACAAAACCAACGTTATATCGATGACACAATGATGTTAAAAGTTTCAAAATAATATCTGTACCTGTTCCAACGCTTCTCGATCCTTCTTCACTGGTCCTGTCCAACAACAAAATGGCGACTTCCGGCGTGTTATTCATTAAGGAGAACCCGTCATACCGTCATCTTCTTCTTCGTCATCATCTTATGCGTCAGCCCGTTTGTCTTCTTTTTCTGTAAGTTATATGGCAGTTGCAATAACTGACAATAGTGAAATAGCGCCCCCAAATGATATGGTGTCCAAGCTTGTTCTCATATTGAATTTCTATAATGGATCCACTAGAAGGTGCTCCATCCATGGCTGTATGGGGGAATCTGAAGGCCCTATGAAGTTCGGGACAACACTGCGTGTGCTGTTTGGTTGCAATGACAGGCTATAGTTCCTTCAAAAATATAGGCTACTGTACGCATCCCTTCAGACTTCATTGATCATTTACTTCCAGTCCATATGGTGCTTTTGAATCCTTACAGGAGATTTAGGGCTATGCTGCCTCATGGGAATGGTTATAGGCTACATCAATATTCAAAACAGGGAAATTCACTTTTTGCTTTCTCTTCTCTCCCTTGAGTCTGGCGGCGCATTAAGCACTAACTTTAACTCCTACTATACACAAAAGCAAAACACTGCTTTTAAAGACTACTAATCAATCGAATAGACATTGATGCAAAAATAAATAAACATGTCCGGAACATTTTAATTGATAATTAAAACGTTTTTGGTTTAGACCACAAATAAAACCATTAACTTCAAAGAATCACAGTTATCTCTGCCCATAAAATGACGGATTTTAGGTTTTTAATTCACGTGCATAACCGGGATGACTGGAGACCTGAACATGGCTACCCTGTTGTGTAGATTTCTATTCAAATAATAAATAAATTTTAGTATTGAAGCACTGTCCACCTGGGTGGCGTTACAATGGGTGGGAACATACAGTAACAATCCTGAGAGAATCCAATGGGGGTGCGGCAAGACGATGCAGTCCACAGTGGGCACTCCCTCCCAGCGGACTCCTGGGCCAGGCGCACTGTGTTGAAAGTCTGTGTGCATGTGGGAACACTTAAAGAGGTTCGCCGACCACACGGCACAAACTTTCTCCATTGAAGAATCACCGAGATGAAGAGCAGCGCCAACCCGGCACCATGCGCTCCAGGCTCCCACGGACTGCCTGCTTATTGCGAGTCATTGCACTCTGCATCCTCCTCTCGCACACTGCAGCTTATTTTGGGTTAGATCATTTCTATTTAACTTTTGCCCATCACATTTTTGATTGCCTTGGTTGTTTTATTTGCTTTAATGAGCTCACAATAACAACCTTTCCACGCTCTAGCCAATTACGCGTTCATAATTGTACATAATCTACCGGTTCTATATTGTGTTGTTCGAATCCTGCACATTTTTTGCGAATTGTTGTGCTAATTGTTGCAATAATCATAATCATAATCAAGACAAGTGATAGTCTAATTTAAGATGATTCTCAACCAAATCAAGATGATCAAAGATTAGGTTTGTTGGATTTTTTTATTCCTGTAGCCTATAGGAATTTCTACTGTTCACAGTATGAATATGGAACAGAAAAACTGAAGTAATACAGTTTCCCCTCGTTCAATGTATTATCAGAAATTAACATTTTCAGGTGGCCAACCGCAGCGTTAAAAAGTAAGCATGAACTACAACTCACACATACATCGTTCTGTTTACAAATGACTGCGGGAAAAACAATCAGTTTATTTGAAGCACAAGTTCTAATTAATTTCTTTATTTCCTCCTCTAGGCTGACAGGTCGGGAACCTTTGGTGCTTTTACCAGGTCCGTTTTCCAGTGAACCTCACACTGGAAAGGCTCACCTGAAGCAGTGCGAACAAATGACTCTGACCAGGCGGCAGAAGAGGCTGTGTCGCAGGGAGCCTGGTTTGGCCGAGGCGTTGCGAGAGTCGGTGCGACTCAGCCTCCTGGAGTGTCGGTATCAGTTCAGGAATGAACGCTGGAACTGCAGTCTGGATGGCCGGGGAAGCCTTCTGAAAAGAGGTGACATATTTATTCAGAGTTTTAACAGGCGTCGTTTTTGCACTTCATTTGATCAAAGTGATATTTTTGAGCAGGTTCTTGTTTAAGGGACTTGTAGGTTGCGACTCTTACGTCTCTTATCATTCCCATTACCTGTATTTACCTGAAGTGAGACAGGTGCATATGAACACCACTTACTTCAATAAGCAGCTCTATACTTTATATAAAAGCAAAACGTAAAGCCAACATGTATCTGAGCAGGATACCAAAATAAAAATCACTGCCACATCTTCCTGCATGGCCCTGACGCTGATGGGAGTTTCATAAGACCAAATAACTACAGCAATGGGAAGGAAAACATAGATCGAGTTTTACTGAAGTCTGGGGCCAAGACTGGAGAAAGTAAAGTAATCAAATTCTGTCTCACTTTATGTTATTTTGATTTTTTTTATTATTATTATTATTATTATTAATGATGTCACGTGGTCGCACACAGGGACATAATGAACTAAACTTACCTCAAGCTTTTTGAAATTGAAATTTTTGCATGTATTCATGCTATTATTATAGAAAACGGTGTCAAATTAATATCAGTTGATTTATGTCAGTCCATAAAATGAATAAAAAAATGTCAGAAGCAAATTGCAAACAAAGTAAAGTTTTTGGATTATGAATTGTTTTTGTTGCTGCCTATAAAGTATGAGCTGTAATGTATCTGTTTCCCTACCACACCACTGATTTTACAGCACAGGACAGCACAGTAAACTGTTGTGCATCTAAAGAAAGTGCTACTATATAATTTTCCTAATTTAGAAGAGTTGTGACTGACTGTGCTGTATGGTATGAAAGTCATTCTCAAATATTTCTGCAGTACCAAAGTACTGTATTTGTGAAAATGACACCAACTGACCATTTTAGATTTTATTTTATGTTACTTAAGATGTTTTCCACGGTCCCTTGCCTTGGTACAACCCTTGAAAAATTCTTTGCATGGCCTGACACAAAGATTTATTAGATACACTTGGAAAAAACATATGCCCATACTAAATCACCATATTGCATATCCTGCGAGCCCTCTGAAGATCTGCTTTGCACAGAAAATGATTTCAGATCTTCCAAGCCTTATGCATATGGATATCAGTGTGTGGAAGAACATGAACAGGTCAGCATAGAGGTAATGAGAGAGTAGAAAGCCAAAAAATGCGATGTGGTGGAGAGTGCTCAAGCCCTGTGCTTATTTTTATCTGGGGAAAGCGCCCATTCCCAAAGGAAAAGGGCGGCATGATTACTAACTTTCATCTTAGAAAATCCTTCCTAGTCAAAATAATAATTAATTGGATCAAAATATGCCCTAGTGACGGCTATGGGGTGAAGCAAATAGCAGTCTGAAACCAAAAGGAAAGGTCAGAGGAGGAATTATGACACAGAATAATACTGAGGCTGGTGTAAACCATGACAACGTAGTGAGCTCTGTACACATTTTGGCTTAGAGACTTACTCAGTGTCACAAAAGCCATTTTGATGATTGTAAACTGTGACTCTATCCCTTAAGCTATATGCAATTTGCACTCAAAATACATGTTTTGATGCCAAGGATAGCTCTTGCTTTGAACTCAAATTCAGCTTCTCAAATATGCCTGGATAAAAATGAACTGAAGTTCTTCTGTGTGTGTTTTTTTTACACAAAGTTATTCCACCTCTACTGATGAGTTTTACATTTTCCCCAGCATTCAAAGAGACCGCCTTCCTGCTGGCAGTGTCCTCCGCAGCACTGACACATGCACTCGCCAAAGCATGTAGCTCAGGCCGAATGGAGAGGTGCACCTGTGACGATTCCCCCGGCATTCAGCATCGAGAAGCGTGGCAGTGGGGGGTCTGCGGTGACAATCTGAAATATAGCACCAAGTTTCTCAAGAAGTTCCTCGGCCAAAAGAGGGTCAGCAAGGACCTGAGGGCTCAGGTCGACACCCACAACATCAACGTTGGAATTTGGGTGAGTGTGAAGAAAGAAGTGGAAAAATATTACAGTAAATGTACCTCAGTGAAATAACCCTCTAATTTCTTTATGATCAATTTGCCTCCTGACCCCAAGGCATCTCAATCCTCACCTATACTGGAGCCACAATTAGTTCAATTATCTGGGCTGTAATTTCAAATAGCAGTTGTATCTCTGACACACTACTTTACTATCAGATGATGCAAAATTGCAGTCCTCACCTGCCTATTTTTCACAGTGCCAACCAGACAAATTCCCCCTTATTTACTAGCATCGCTGGCCTTGGTGGATAAAACAGAGGCAGAGGATGAGGCAGTGGAGCAGGAAGCCAAGATGGGCTGTGGAATTGTTGAAGCCAGGTGTTCACAGGCATGATAAAGCTTGCTGTATGGATATACAGAAAATTAAAGATCTCATGTCAGAGAATGATTATAACCGTGGCCTCTTTTTAATATATGAGTGAGCATTTTTTCACTTACTGAATCATGGTGTTCTTCATAAATCCAGCTAATGATTATAACCACCACCGTGAATCTTCGAAAGAGCAGGGCCCAGGGTCCTTCTCTGGCAGGTCTCATATAGCTATTAGGGACAAAAAGGAAAAACACAACAGGAAGCAAAGAGAGCAATTTATTATCTTATCTTTACTGAGTTAAATGTTTTCCTCACTTTACACTAATGTCACTGAGAAGAGACCGGGAGCTGTGTTAACAAAAACATGAAGTGGCCGGCACCCCCCCAGTCTCTCAGTAATGGTGCTCTGAATCCCTTGAGGCGTTCACACATGCAAAGGGAGGAACTAAGCAGAACTTCTCAACCCAGAAGTACCCTCTGGCTCCCTCTGAATGACCTGTCTCTGGCCCCTGCCAAGATAGCAGGCTGAGTGATCGCACTCTCATCACTGACCATCAAGCTCAGTGAACTATTAACCTACATCAGCGGCACCATCACGAGCCACTGCTGCAGTTTTTGGCACTTCCCGCGCAGAAATTCTTATCAGTGTTTTCCATGAGCAGGCATGTATGAAAAACTGGGTGGAGAGATTCCACCTTCTGAGCTGTTTGTCACCTCTGCCTCAGGCTTTAGGAGACAGGAGAGAAGCAGACAGAGCTAGTTTCAACACATTGAGACAAAAAAATTGCAAGAGCTGTCCAAGTGAGAAATGCGAGGTAAATGAAATATGGCATGCTGAACAGTCCCCCCTCAATCCATTATGTCAAAAACTTTAACTTAGGGAGAGCTACAGGTTTACTATGGTGTAGAGCTCCACCTCTAACCCCCTACCTACCCTGCAGGAAACTGCCTCCCTCTGTCCAGATAGACCTCACTGATAATACACCAGGTAATGAATCAAACTAAAGGAACTGACATCTCTCCTGTTTTCCCTCCCATGTTTTTTTTTCTCATTTCAGGCAGTGAAGAGTGGACTGAAAACAACCTGCAAGTGTCACGGCGTCTCCGGCTCTTGTGCTGTACGGACTTGCTGGAAGCAGCTGTCACCTTTCCATGACACTGGGCGGCTGCTGAAGTATCGATATGACACCTCGGTGCGCGTGCTGAGTGTCACCAACGCAGCCACTGGGGAGACCGAGCTCGCAGGGCCCCGTCGTCATGGTCAGAGCCTCCGCACTACTGATCTGGTCTACCTGGAAGACTCCCCCAGCTTCTGCAGACCATCCCGCTACTCCCCGGGTACAGGCGGCCGGTCATGTGCCAAAGACACCAGCTGTCAGAGTCTGTGCTGTGGACGTGGTTACAACACAGCCATGCGTCTCACCAGCCAGTCCTGCCACTGCCAGGTACGCTGGTGCTGCCATGTGGAGTGCCAGACATGTGTGAGAGAGGAGGAGGTATATACCTGCAAAAATTCATAAACAAATGATGAGATATAAGAGTTATAAGGAGTGTGTGAAGATGTGCAAAAAGAATGAATGATCCATTGAGTCAATGGAAAAATGTGAATTCATCATTGGTGTGATATAACTGGACTATAATCTCCTACAGACAATTAACTGAGGGGTCTCATATCAAGGAATATACACTTCTAACATTATTAAATTGCTGGCTATTTGCTAATCCTCACTGATTTGATATGCATCACATTATATTAGGTGAGGATGTTTTAAAACTACTCTGCTTTCCTCTCACTGGATGCACTGAGATCCTACTCCTCTGGGACAGAGGAAACCAAGCTCTTAAAACAGGTACTGGACTGGACTGGGTGCCACCAGCAGAGCAACATCAAGCCCCATCTGCAGGGGGGGCTGTGACAGTGACGTTGTTCTATTCTCCCTTTCCATTTGGCTATTTATTACATCCGGTGTACTGCTGCTGCTTTATACTTTAAGTCTCTTGTAATCGATTGTTGCCACTAAGGCTGAAATGGCCTTAAGAGGAATCTACCTGTCTGTATTTCTGTCTGCTGTTTTATTTTCTGCTGTGGAGAAGTTTTAAAGTTTTACTTCTGAGTAAAAAGCACTTAACGTTGCTCTTGCTACATATTGTATGAAAGAAGGTGTATAATTAATCATAGAGGTTTGAAAAAATGCTTATCCTAACCCTAACCCTGCTTAAATAGAATCACTGGAAGCTTTGAGGGGCGGTCGATGCCACTGATGTACACCCTAACTACATGCATTAACTGGTTTAGTGTGTAAACACAGAAGCTGGGTTTCAGTTGCTCTTATGGAAATGTCTATGGAAATCACTACATGTATCCTAATGGGGTGCTTACCAGAACAAAGGGAAATGCTTGGGTTAATAGTGAGGGAAACAGCAGACAATGTCTTTGAAAAACAATGAAAAAAAGGATGCTACATTTATGAACATGCCCTCCTCTTTTATTTTCTCTATTCATAAAGTCACAGTCTTTGCTATAATTTCAAGTTTGAAATTGCTTGGTCTGCAAAGTCTGATTTAGCCATGTCTTTGTTCTGAATGCATTTGAAGTGGGCCAATCATGCTTCTTATTTTCACTAATTGCTAATCAAAGAAAATCACCATGTTTACCCCCTATTACTTATATCCAACTCTGTGTCCATCTGTGCAGGTCAAAGTGCACATTAGACCCAAAAGGTTTATTTTTATTGGCCGGTTTATGTTTTGTTTGAGTGATGCCGAACTGCATATATGATATAACTCATGTCAGGGCTTCAGGCATGTGACAATGTGGTATCATCATTTTCTACCTCACTCGCTTTTGGTAAATATAAGTAAGATTTATGAGCTATGCAGAGTTATACTCTCTGTAGATAGATGCTCCTTCCTTTGTGTTTGCTTTAAAGATCACATTTTAGATTTTGTACATTTCTTTTGAATTTGGTAATATATATTTAGCTCCATATTTCAAAAGTAAACTTTTTTAAATGATCTTGTTGCATTACATTCTTATTTAAAACAAATAAGGTTAATAAATGGACACACATTTGTAAGTGCTCTGTGTTTGTCGTGTCTTCAGTTGAGGCAGGTGTTTCACCCTCAGCTGTGCTCTCACACACATGCACTCCGCATGCAATAGGAAGCGAGTGCAGCTCACCTGCCTGAAACTCGGTGCCCTGCATCTTCCTGCAGATGGTCCTCCCCTCCTCTTCTTCTGAAAGGACTGTGGCCTCGCTGCATCACCCTCAAACGGCCAGTAAAAGATGATGAGCAGTGGGTGGGCGGTGGAGGATACGCTTACAGGTGTTGTGCCTCTGGCCAACACAGCAACCATGATGACAGTTATAATGAGGATGATGACAAAGATGATGACTCAGAGAAATGCTGTCATGCAGGGCGTCTGACCCCTGATTCCCCATTAGAAGGTTACAATCAGCCATCTCAGTGCAACAACAATAAGAGCAGTTTATGTGCTATTAACTGTGAATCATAACTTTCCACTCATTTGCAAAGCATCAATGAAGCTTGCTTTTGATGTTGCCGTCTAATTTCTATGATTACACATTATTATTCCTATCATTAGAACATCAACATATTGGAGTGAATTATAAGACAATTTCAAAATTGCTAAGCTTTTCCAGCAAGGTTAATTAGCCTGAAAAATCTCTTGTAGTCCAGTAGGGCATTGTTAACACAAATGATTTCTCACTGTGACAAGTACACTGTATTTTTGTAATGTAACTTTTAGGAAGGCAAAAAAGAAATTGATAGGTGTTCATGACAACACAATGAGATGAGCCAAACGTCACTAACCTCTGACAAAGGACTATAGGTAAATAAACAAAAGTAAAAGGTTTTCATCATGTAAAAGAGAAATTTACAGAAAACACAGCCATCTTCAAATGTTTTTTTTTTCTGTGTATCTTTAAATCAAATTTTGTCAGTTACAGTACAGTTACTTTTCTAGAATTCCCATATCTCCAATTGTCTCAGAATATGAAGATTTCCAGACACTGGGATGCATTGTAGCCATTTTTCTGATGACTGAAGTCAAAGAAGTTCATATGCTGAGACTACTGATTCACCACATTAATATACTATATTATAATATTTTGGATTAATATTTAACTTTATTCAGTATGCAATTTTTTTTAAACAAATCCAAGTTCTCCTCAGCAGAGCTGCAGGATAAAAGCCAAGACAGAGGAGTGTGTCACAGAGGTGGACTGGGGTTGAGATATTGAAGGACATAAAAGAAAAAGATGAGGATGGAGGTATGAGAAGGGATAGTTTGTGGCCCCAGGAGACCTATCCCCTGCTGCTGCTGTTGATGTTTCATAATGAACTCCTAAAGCTTTCATTTCCCTCACTACTCTGAGTGGGGGGGGGGGGGCGAGGGCGGCTGTTTTGAGTAGGGTGGGGGGGGGTTGGATGGAGTAGGGGAGCAATATTTAAGCTCCTGTGTCTGAAAGAGCCATGACAGGAGACAGGTGAGGGCAGAAAGGTTTTTGCATATGTGTGCATGCATACTTGCCATGCGCACACCTGTGGTCACTTCAGTGTGAGTGATATGTGAGTGTATGTTTGTAGTGAGGTTTTCCTGTGTGGGTGTGGGCCACAGTCGGGCTGCTGCATGCTGGAGGTTCTGTCTGTCACCCTGAGACACTGAATGACATAGATAATGTAGGGTGACGCTGATGGTAACACTATCACTTGTGTCTGCACTGGTCTGGTTCAGTTAAAGGTTACTATGCCGGGCAGGGCTGCAGCAGATGAAAACTGATTGGCTGGGGCATTTTTTGAAACATGGATCATATTTGCATTGCTTAGAAAAAGATATTATCCATAACAACTTACATAGCTTTCAGGTTTATACATTACTCATTTGTGTAAGAACAGTAGATGTTAAGTGAAGCATAAAAGGCTTGGTAGATATTTTGCTCAAGGACACAAAGCACAGTCTCGTCCTGTAATTGGAACCTCTGAGCCTCAGGTCAAACATATAACCCTCCAAGACTTCCATCTCTAAAAACAAGGTACTTAGATACCATCAGTGCTGGGCCTAATCCCATCCCCACACCCTGATACAGCATAAGGAGAAAATTTAATGATGAAGAGGAAGAGGAGAGGTGGACTGGTGCAGAAAGAGAGACAGAGAGACTGAGCTGTGAATATGGCACGGAGTAGGAATTTGGAATGTGAAATGACTAATGCAACTGCTCAACCCACAACAAGAACATGCACTGCCTAGAGCTATGACAAGGCTGAGTGCATACCTCTATGGGGGGGGGCTAGCTTAGCGGCTGGGCTGGTGGCTGCGTTCCTCACAGTGGATGATGAGACACATGGGTGTAGAGGCCATGCACACATGTGTGATGGTCAGTTCAGTGAGCTGCAGAGTTGAAATGATGGATTTTCACCTGAGGATGAAAACAAAAATAGAGTATAACTTTATTATAGTATGTCTAATCGAAATAATAAAATTCAATACACAAAATAAAAAAAGAGAAAAAAAACGAGACATTAAAATCTCTTGGAACTGAGTAACTGATTACATGATATGTTTCCAAAGTCATCTTTGCATCTACCAAAGTTAAACCTGTAAAACCTGAAGAACAGGAGATCTGAAGGTTCCTCCATTACACAGAACTTTTCTCTTCAGCTCCAGTTCAAACTAAAACAGTTGATTAATTGATAAGTTGATTTACAGAAAATTAATCTGAAATTATTTCAGTGGACCAAGTTCAAAGTCCAGCTTTATTGCAGCTACACCCATAGAAAATGTAAAACAAGAATTGTGATTTTGGTCTCTGGGTAATTATGATGGGTGTTTCTCAATATTTTCTAAGGTTTTATAAAACCAACAACCAAAATATATAAAAGTATATACATTTTCTTCATTTAGGTCTTTTACTTGAATGAATTTAGCACAATTTCCTGATTATACTTATATACTTTTACTGAAGCAACAGGCTCAGTGGAGGATTTATACTTGTAACAGGATCTATACTTTTTATAGGAGTATTAGCAGTTTTTTACTTAACTAAAGGAGCTGAATACTTCTTCTACCATTGCTAACAGTTAACAACAAGCCAAAGTATAGCCTAACACAGTACATAGTCTAATGCAGTACACTTATGTTGCAGTACACTGCAGCGCAAATGCTTGTGAGCTGGCTTCACACAGTAAAGATGCTCTACCAGTGTTTACTGGTATACACCTTGACCAGTCCACTGTTAACCACCCCACCACACTGGGAAACTCTAGAAGGAGGCCGTTCCCATGCTGCTCCACAGAAACACCTGCAGTGCTAACAGCAGGGTTTACATTGCAGCTGCTGTGATAGGACATGATAAGACCATGTACACCTCCATAACTGACTCCCCCCTGCTCAATGTATGGTACTCCTCTGCTATTCTCTCATAGAAACTCAAAGCCACACACACACTTTGACCTCCATTACAATCAAAACAAAACTTTCCCAGATCAACAATGTCCAAGAAGCAAAAAACATAGATAAGGACAGAGCTATGTGTTCTCTCAACCAGCAACAAATCTGAAAAAGAAGTCTGGAATGTTGTCTGTGATTATTTGTAATATCTTCAGCTACACAATTAAAGCGTCTGGTGGCTTTGTTTCCATGAGTGCTGCTCACCCTTATTAAATCATCACTGTCATTAAAATTCCATCAAAATTTATTATCTTTTTTTGAGCTCTGTGACCCACACACTCTGGCTAACTGACACATTCGACTTAATCATGAGCGTGTGGTTGAAAGACTGTGGGTAGGAAGCTGTCAGACAGGGGAAGCCCGTACTGCTCCGTGCCAGGATTTTGTTTGTGTTGCCATCATGGATAAGCTGTCATCCAACCACAGATGTGGACAGCATCTCTCATCCTGAGAGGTCTGGGTGTCACAGATGGTATGGCCACAGGCTGTGTGTCTGTGTGAGTGTCTGATAGTTGTATGATCACACTTTGCTCTTCGAGGTCAGAAGAAGCAAAACTGGGAGGAGGGAGGAGGAGCAAGAGAGTTAAACAATAAGGGTGATCACATTCTCTCTGTCTCCACTTTAGGGAGAAGCTAATAAAGTCAAAGGACTCCTTCAGGGGCAGGTTTAGAAATGTTTGAATGGGGGAGGCACACATAAAGCTTTGGCAATAACAAACTTTACAATGATAAAAGTCATGTTTATTAAGTGTAACAAGTGCATGCCAAATAATCTTTAAATGATCTAATAGGACATCATCAATAAATACCTGCTACACAGTCATGGACACATTATGAGGCAACATGGTCCTGGTCAGGCAAAAGCCTCCTACAGAGAAGCAAGACCCAAACTGAAAGAGGCATATGACATCAACAAGCAGTATTTGTAGTTGTTTGTGTCTCTTAGTGGTTGGTGTGCATCTCTCTGTGGCACTTTTGTGTCACTTTCTGGTTGTTTGGCATAATTTTGTGGTCGTTATGCATATCTTCATGTGGTTTCATGTCTCTTTGTTGTTCTTCTGTGTATCTTTGTGGTCACTTTGTTGTTGTTTTGTGTCACTTAACAATTGTTTGGCCTAATTTAGTGGTCATTTTGGTTATCTTAATGGTGTTTCATGTCATTTTGTGGTCATTTTTGTCAATTTGTGGTTGTTGGGTGTAATTTAGTGGTAGTTTTACACAAATTCATGGTAATTTTGTATAGTTTTGTGGTCATTTTGCACATGCATTTATGTCTTTTTGTGATTGTTTTACAATACATTGTGGTTGTTTTGTGTATTTTTGTGGTTGCTTGACTTTCCAATAAAAATGTCAGTAGTCACAAAGGCTCTGATTTGAACAATCTATGACCTTCTTATTTTGGTGGTGGTTGTGCTGTGCCACCCCTGGTCACCCCTTTGGTCCCACCTCTGGACCCCTCTCCCACCATAACCCACTGAGTACACTAGGAGCTTATGAGTCTTTCCCATCATCTCTGACAGGCCCCTTTTTGCTTTCATTCATCACAGCTTCAAAGACAAGTGGTTCATCTCCCTTGAGGCGAGTGACATGATCAGCGTGCCTTCAAAAAATGACTTGTATCCAGAAATTGTTGACCCAAGGCAGTTTTGCTCTTCATAATTGCCTTCTTCAATCTGTCTGTCTTAGGCAATCATTGTAGAGTCATGATGTATTATAATGCCTGGAAAACAACATTAAGAATGTTGTGTAGAAGTGATTCAATAACATATCATTTTCTCTTGATGAACAAAATAGTGTTATTGAAGGAGGTAATCACAGAGTAAGAGCTGTCTAACCAGGACAAGGAACCCCCAGAGGAGCAAAGTGTGGCACCGCAATAATCCAGTGAGATGTGTATCTTAACACTGAAGACATCAACACTATGGAATAACACATGTCGAATTATGTTGGTAACAAAAAATTGAATCATTTTAGATTCTTCAAAGTATCCACCTTTTGCTTTGATACAAGCTTTGCATGCTTTTCTCGGCCAGCTTCATGCGGTAGTCACCTGGAAGGCTGTTCCAATAGTCTTGAAGAATTTTGCACATATGCTGGGCACTTGTTGGCTGCTTTCCCTCCACTCTGCGATTCAGCTCATTCCAAACTATCTCAGTTGGATCTAGGTCAGGTGATTACAGAGGCCAGGTCATTTGACACAGCACTCTATCACTCCCTCTTGGTCAGATAGGCCTTACATAGCTCGGAGGTGTGTTTTGGGTCACTGTCCTATTGAAAAACAATTGATGGCCCCACTAAGGTCAAACCAAATGCGGTGGTTTGTGTCATTGCAGAATGTTGCGGTAGCCATGCTGGTTCACAAGTGCACCTTTAATTCTGAATAAATTACTGACAGTGTAACCAGCAAAGCACATGCACACCATTACACCTTCTCCTCCATGCTCCACATGCAGATACCATCTGTTCACCTCTACATCTCATAAAGACATGGCGGTTGAAACAAAAAGTCTCAAACCTGCACTCATGCAGTCTCGTTTCATCTTTTCATACATAAAGTATATTTTCTTGGTAATATTTTACACTGTTTTTACTTAAGTAAGATTCTATTACGCAACAACAAATTTTCCTGAAATCTGTAAAACATTTTTGAGATATACTCAGAACTGAACAGAACCTGAACTAGGATCTACAAATGTGTATGATAGCAACATTTGTACATCAAACTAGGCGTAACCACATGTGCTCCTTCGGTCAGTTGGAGTGGCATGATCATGTTCCACACCTGGAGTTTGAATTCCAGTTTGTGTCTGTGGTGCTCAAGTATAGTGGAAAACCAGTAAGCTCATCTCATCCTTTCCTCAGGGTTGAAAGATAAAGGACAGACAGACAAAGTGAACCCCATGACCTTGAGAGAGAGGAAAATTTGCCTCATGTATTGCTCAGAAATGGTATTCTGAACAGTAGGTTAAAGATGGGCACATCCAACCACTGCCCTGGGGATGTGTTATGACAACCAAAAATGGTGAACAGTGAGAGCAAGAAGTGGCATGAACAGATCTCAAGGTTTCTGACATGTTGGGGTGGGTGAAAAGGACCTCTGTTGCGAAGTATCTAGCCTGAAGATACAACAATCAACTCAAGTACCATCAGGCAGCCACGGAAGACTGTCTGGTCTGACTTCTGATTGCTGTGCAGAATGAGGTAAGCAAATACAGCTATCACTGGCAAATGGGAACCTGTAACAGCTTACTGTCCTAATTAGGTTAAAAGATTCTCACATTAGCTTCGCTTGCCCCTGGATTTATCAGTTCTCCCCTTCCAAATGTGTAGACAGCACAGTGATGGATGGCTGGTGCAACATGATTAAGATGTGGTTTTGCTAAGGTACTAGCACCCCAGGATGATCTTACCCCCACTAAATCACCAAGGAAGTATTGTGAAATTTTCATATCTTATTCTGGGAGATCCAAACATGCCACTTTCACACAGTACTCGGTGATAGGTTCCGTCTGTGATGGGCAACTTTTTCCCCAGACATCCTCTCTATATTAATCTTTGACTTGTAATACCTCACTATGAAAAGGTTTAATATCATTAGTTTTGGTGCTTATGCTGCAGGCAGGAAGGAAGCCTCTGAATGAACAGACAGGAATATTCTGACACCTATCTGTGGAAAAAGAGGATGACCTAATTAGACAGAGTCAAGGTAAGCTGACAAAAGCTAGCCCCAGGACATGTGTCTCAGAGTCTTTCCTGTCACATATCTACATGTCAACAGATTATGCTATATGCTCTCAGACCTTGTTTCAGTAGGGGAAAGGATCTCTGCTATCACACCTGCCAGCTAATATATTTAAGATTAAACTCCTAGAGGGAGGGCAAACATTTTTTTTTGTTGGGCCCCCATTGACTTCCACTATATATGGCAACCAAAAACCAAGAAATCAACCAGTACTCTACGACAAAAATGGTTAGTTGATTAACTGCTTAGTTCAGTGACAGAAAATTAGGCTAAGTATTAACAATTTTTATATATGATTCATTGATTCGTTTGTTAAGAAAAATGCTATAATTTCACTGATTCCAGCTTCTCAGGTGTGAATATTTGGAAGTTTTCAGAGATAGAAATTTCAACACTTTGAGGTTTTTGATGGTTTAGACAAAAAAGGGCATTTTCACTATTTTCTAACATTTTATTGAAAATTGAAGGCGCACAGGTTTCTTATACTTAAGCAGATCGATAAAACACAACACAATTCTACAACAAATGGGTGCAGTACAAACTAAAATAATTCAAATGTAAAAACTATAGGCTATAACAGAGTGGATGACTTCCTGGATGGCAGATAATACCACAAGCCCCACCTAATTTTGACAAATTTAAAGTAGTCATCTTATGTAGACCCAAACAATGGCTGTTGCCTGGTTTACCTGATTGGTAATCCAGACTTGCTATGGGGCATTGTTAACCACCATACAGGATTTAGTGTCTGCATGACATGATGTCTGGTTTCAACTTAGTGATTCATCACAGTGTTTACAATGCAAAATCAAAAATGATAAATGGCATCTGTAGATTTCTTAGGCTGTTTGTCTGCTATTGAGTGATAGTGACATTAGGTGGTGTTTCTTTGACAGTTTGATTAAAGCCAAAGATCGTTGACTGTCAAAATATATAACAGTTATATTAATGATAGGTAGCAAAATCTCTTTACCTCATAAAATGACAGAATACTCTTTATGAGTTATAAGGTGAACAGAGGTGCAATGAACCTAAAACATAATGACGTAACACAATGTTCACCGCGGTGTATTGTGGGTGAAAGGTGTAGACGGTAAAACGCACTATAACTACAAGCAGTGACAAGTAACATTAATATTTATTCGCATTAAAAACATCGTCAAAATATCTTAAAATTGTTCCATGTTTTGATGGCCTTATTTCGGACTGAAACTTTCTGCCTAGTGGAAGCTTGAAAAAAAAACGCACCTCTAGCGTTCTTCCTGTATTTAATACAGTGGCACGCAACAATTAACACATCGCGTCACTTCTTCTTCTCTCTTTTTAATAGAGTTTGGTAAACAGCTTGAGGTGCATTACCGCCACCTTCTAGACCGGAGTGTGGATTTGAACGGCCTACTACTGCTACTATATTAAAATAACCTCACTCAGTTCACATTATATTGTTTTGCTCAGTCCTGTACTCTGTAAAAACCTAAGAAGTGCTCTGTATCCTATATCCCTTGAGCTTTTTTTCAACACCTCCGTTAAACTAAAGTTCACGTCACGTCATGTCTTAGGGCCATTAAATCCTTAGTGTCTGAAAATCAAGTCGGAGTGAGTGCTCTTCTTCGTCTTTTCTTCTTGTGTGACCCAGCGGAGTTTCCGCTGTCCTATTTCCGTACACAAACGCTCGGCTGATGACGTGTACACTCCACTACCGTTAGCTAGCCTACTAGCTAAACCACCTGTCAGATTAAAGGTGTTATAATAAAGTAACGTCAGAAACTAAGAGGAAGCTGGCCCATAATATCGCTGAAAATGGAGACGCTTTATCATCAGACAAACAAGTGAGTACGTGTGCATTGTGTGGAATCTGTGTAGACTGTCGTAGCTAGCAGACGAGTAGCTAATCATCCGTGATTTAAAATTAACAGTTCACTTAACGTTAAATTCTTTGCTAGCTAATGACAACATAGTAGGATTGTTAATCAATAAAATGTTTCCTCGGCTGTTCTTTGATGATCCTGACTGTTCAAAAATTCACTGAACATTTAAGTTGTAGCATGTGTCATTTCACTTTCACTACCCAAACGATATGCTTGTTCTGAATTAATTTAAAGGCAAATCCAGGAGGTTCAGTCTCTGATGGGAAACCTGGAGAAGACAGACCGCCAGTCAGTGCACTGTGAGTAGTAAGCTTTCGTTGCTCATGTCGGTGAAAGCTGTTTCCCCTCTAAAATCAATCAACTGTAATACTCCAGAAATATTTGTTCTCTGTTCCACTGTCAATAACGTTATTTTACTGGGATAAATAATAATATCTTCTCTTAAGTGGAAGAAAATATTGGTTTTCTGGATTTTACCATTGTATTTATTCTGCTAATTGTATATCAAACACACAAAACATAACGAAAGAGAAAGAAACATATGTGGGCACTTTCGATGTTTAGATTGTTATCCATTACACAGTACATTCTGCCAGCGTCATAAGGAAACTAGCTTCAGAAACAAGAAGGATGGGGAGTCCTGTAACATATGGTATGGCTCCCATAGAGCCCTAATCTGAGTATCATGGAGTGAGCCTGGGATTACATGAGGAGACAGATGAGGCAGAATAAATCCACTGAAGAACTGTGGTGATCTCTCCAAGATGCTTGGAACAGCCTTCCTAACAAGTACTTCTTGTAAAACTGTGCACTAGTGTACCAAGGAGAATTGGTGCTTTGATTTGGGTTGTTTGTTGTTGTTGTTGTTGTTTACTGCACTTTGTATATAGTTAATTGTCATTGCAGTAGAATATACTGTATATAGGTGCCTCCTTGATGGTATTGCGATGATGGTTAAGAATCTGAACATACCCAAAACATTAGCACAGTACCGTATACAGTATGTATCTAATTTAATATATTTATGTAATATTCTTGTTCACTGTGCTGTCTTTGTGATATATCATTTCTGTCACAGCCCTTGGGTTTGTTTGTTGTCACAATTATTTAAGTGAAAAAAACAAAAAACAAAAACAAAAAAAAACTAGAGAAACAAAAGGCAGCGGGCTGTATGTGACTGCTCACATTCAGCTCTCCCACTGCTCTGTGTATGAGTGTTGGTATAGTACTAAGTTAGTGCTGCTGGCACCGCTTTTATTAGATTTTTTTAAATGGTTTTGTAACTTCTACTCAGGATAGACTCTCCCTTTTGTTGTGACTTCCCATCACGCCTTTCTGATATAATGACTATAGTGGGGCTGGTGTGTCCCTAGTCCATTGTTTTCTGTGGGTGATGCCTGCCCGATCGGTTGTGGGCCAGGCTGGTGCCGAGGCAGGAAGCAGGAGGGTGGGTGCAGTGACAGAAGCTGGGAGTGCTTCTCCTAGATAATGGTGGGAGCCAGGCAGCAGACACCCCTGCCCCTCCTCTCCTTCCCAAATTATGACATCAACTTGTACTTTAACCTCACTGAGGATGAGGAATGATATACTGAAGTCTGTACAGCTATTAATGTAAGAGGGACACTTCACAGATTAATGTGGATAAAAAGAAATCTTAATAAAGGAAAATACTCTGCCAATATTTTGATAATTGATTTGTTGTTTTCTTCTTGGTGATATTTAGTATCAGTAAACTGAGTTTCTTTGGGTTTTGGATTGTTGGTTGAATAAAACATCCTTTTAAACTAGATCATGCTGAGCTGTGGGAAATTTTAATGGGCATTACTGAACTTCTGACATTTTGCAGACATAATAATTGGTAGATTCTTCAATAATAAAAACCTAATTTAATGTGTTCCTTCCTTTAATTATAACAAATTGTCATTTTCTTGCTCCACTAAGTTTTCTTTTTCTTTTTCTCAATATACAAGTGTTAGAGAATGAACTGCAAGCAAGAATCGACCAGATCTTCAGTCGTTTAGAACGCCTTGAGATCGTGGCCAACAAGGAGCCACCAAACCGCCGCCAGAACGCCAAATTGTGAGTTTGGAGTGAGTCAGCTGATGGTGACCCTAAAGCTCCAGAGCTGCCAGGGTGAACCCACTTGTCGTAAAGGCACAGGGGAGGGAGGGGGTAGAAGATGAGACATGCAGCCCTGTCCTGTGGCGCTATGAAAACATTTCCTCGCAAGCCCCGTCATCATGAGCATTCCT